GCGGCGTCACACAGGCCAGGCACTCCCCACCAATCCTGCCTGAGAGGGGAACATGCAACTAATGTCACTGCAGCACCCTGTTCCGGCAAGTCTGCCTGGTCCCATTATGCCCTTTGCTGGAGCCTCCTACTCTATGAAAGGGTCCCCGTTCCGCTCACTCACTGCAAGTCGATGTAGGGCTCCCTGTTAGTCCTGCTCTCAACTCCGTTTGCAGATTCCCACTCTCAGAGCTTTCGCGTGTCTCTCTCCCTGCCCTGCAGATTTGGATGCAGCAGTGGCAGCAGAAAATTCAAATTGTGGCTTCCAGTGGGGCAGGTTCTAGCTTCCATGCTGAGATTTTATCTGTTCCTGTTATAGCACCAGGATTGGATTTCCAGTTGGTTTCTCTTAGCTTAGTTCATTCCTGGTTCGGCAGGGTGTATCTCCCCTTGCTTAGGACTCGTTGTACCACACCATTCCTGGATTTTAAGCAGGGTATCTCAGAGAGCCTCCGTAGCTGCTGCTATCTATCCGCCATGTTCTTCCGGAAGTTGTACTAGAAGACTTCTGAGCAGCTGATACTGAAGAAGCTGGGCTCTGGGTTCAGGTTAACTCACTTGTGATGCCCCGAAGAAGTGCAGAGAACATTCCAGACCTGCACACAGATGTGTTTTCCTATGTGAGTTACAAAGTCAAGAGATGCCTGTGGCTGATGAGTGGATGGTGTGGTTGGGCTTTGAGGAGAAGCTGGAGACCTATCATCTAAAACCCACTATAGGAACAATGGTAGGAAAGCCAAATGGAGAAAACTAGAATGAGACCCCAGTTCCAGTTCTAACTCTGCCAAGGCTGTGATTAAGTCACTCTAACTGAATCAACTGGAACCTTAAGTTTTTTATCTGTAAAATGGAGATCATAGTCCTTGGTCTGTGTGACTTAGTGATTATAGGTAGCAAATTGGATAATTTTAAATGTTGTGAAAATGTAAGGATGTTTACTTTTAGTTAATAATAATGCCCCAGTTGCTAAGAAAGGCTGTATTCCATTAGGCATATTCCAACTGGAAAAGATAAATGAATGCTGTGTGGTGAGGGAAACGGAAGCTTTAGTTTTCTGGGAAGTTTGTGTGGAATTCCTTCATAGTCTTCGACAAGACAGAACGAGGGGGTTCAGCCCAGAACCAGGGGTCAGAAAGGCTTGGCTGTGCTGCTTACTGTCCTTGTGATGCTGAGCAAAGCACTGAAGTATTATTTCACCTCCTCTGGAGTATGTCATGGAGAGACTCAAATGATAATTACACATGGAAAAATCACTGTGCAAGTTGTGAGGATATAATCATCTCTATAAATTGAGGTATGGTTGCTGACTGCTTTGAAAATTTAATATATTTGCTCATGGAAAAGAATGTGGTTACCTTCTTTGTTCTTTTTTTTGTCTTTTTCATTTTTATCGGTACCAGGGATCGAACTCACGACCGCCTGCTTGCAAGGCAGGTGCTTATGCCGCTGAGCTAAATCCCCAGCCCTACCTTCTTATTTTTAAAAAATTTTTTGCTTATGATATGTATTCTGGAAAGTCACATTTTTCTGTTTCTATTTTAGATATCACTTTAACCTAATTTTACAATCTGATTCCTTAATGCTTCTTCCTCCCCACCTGGCCCCTAAAAAATATCATGGGGACCCACATGGATAGAAAGTTCTGTGTACCCTCATCATTTGGGATCCATGATTGAATCCGGTTGAATCATCTCTCTGTGATTTACATAATTGTTGGCTGGTGCAGTTTTTAGTGGCTTCTGGAATGTTACTGCAGTGGCTGATTGCGTTAGTATAACTTGTCAGCTGTGAGGACTGAGCCTCCCCCCGCCCAGCAAGGTCCACAGACTGTGCTGCCCCTGAGTTTGGGCTGCGTTTCCATGCTGACATATGCAGATCATAGCTGAAAGGGGTTAGTGATACAGAGGAGGTGTAACTCCTAATTGTTAGATGTCAGATGTGCTGAGTTCATGCCCCTGACATTGAAGAAAGAATTCCAGGGACAGTGGAGGGTAAAAGTAGGAAAGGTTTGTTAAGAAATAGGTTCTAAGAGATAGAAAGGTCCTGAAAACAGGTTGCCATGGAGGCCTTTTTCTTAGGGTTAATTTACACTGCCAAGTTGCAGTGTGGGCACAATGTGGACACAAGGTGGTTCAAACTACCAGCAGCCTGTAGGATGACAAGTAGAGCCATTTGGCTAATATCGATGCAATAGGGAAATGAGTAACGTAGCAAGGCCATGTGGCTGGCATCATTCCCCTTGGCTTATCTGTGACTTCTAAAACGAAAGCATTTTGGGGAAAGCATGGGTCCAGCTGTTCTGGTCACACACCTAGGTGTCTGGACTTAATGGACCTAATTCTAACATAATCTTGGGTTACTGTTTATCTCTTAGTGTAGGTGCCGCCGCAGCACGTGTTGTTTATCTCTTAGATAAGCAGGCTTGGCTACTGCATCTTTGTCTTGGGCCTGGCCTTCTTCAGGTGCCCTCCTGCTGCAATTCTGATGTATGTTTTCTGCTGACTTCCTTAAGAGACCAGTCCCTCGTTGACTGTATTATTTCTATCTGACTTAGTTGCTTGTGGTATTAGAACCTGCAGGTCAGAGTTGATTTGCTGTATGTCAGCTTGGGAATCAATAAATAAACTACAGACTGGTGACTCAGTTTTAGCATTCTTCTGATTTATGTTCCCTTGCTGTGTAATGTGTGGCTTTGAAAAGCATCTGATTAAAGAAGTGACGCAGAGTCATCTGAGTCTCCATTTACTGTTGTTGAAGAATTCTGAATATAGTTTTCCTTTGGTTATTAAGTATTAAGTATTCTAAACATACAAAAGAGTGAAACTAATAAACACTGAGCATTCACTATGCAGATTTAAACATCTACTTTAGAAATTTGTTTTCAAAACTAAAATGACAGGTACAGTTAAAGTCCTTCTAATATTTTTATTATCATCCTTATCCGCCTGCTCTCTAGAGGTTATTGATTATTATTAGAAATCTGTTCTATTTTTATACTGTTACAACTTATGTATCCATAAAAATATAAAATACTGCTTTACACTGCGCCGCTTCTCCCTGTGCGCACGTGGGAGCGTCTGTCGCCGAGCTGAGCAGGCACCTGCAGACCTGCAGAGGTGACTGCTGGGCTGCGGTGGGGCAGATCTGCACCTCACCAGAGCAGCAAGCTGTTTCCACAGCGGGCGAGCCGGGTTCCTGCTATGCTGTAGTTTGTGAAAATGCTTGCTTTTCCACTTCCTTGTTTAAACTTGGGTGTTGTTATACTTAACCACTGCTCTGATGGATGTAAAATGGGAACGCATTGCTTAGTTTTTTTCTGATTACTAGTGAAGTAGGTCATCTTTTCATATTTTATTGAAAAATCATAGTTTCTATCTATTGCTAATTTTTATCCTTTGCCTATTTCTCGTAGGATTCTTTTTCTTAGAGATTTGCAGAAATATTTTATAGCATTAGATACTAATACTGTGTTAATTATATGTATTACAAATTCTTACTTCCAGATTTTGACTTGTTGATTTTATGGTATTTTGCCTGTTTGTTTGTTTGCTTTTCTTTTGGTACCAGAGATCGAACTCACAACCTTGTGCTTGCCAGGCAGGCACTAATGCTGCTGAGCTGAATCCACGGCTCGGTATGGTATCTTTTTTCCAAAGGAAGCTATAGTTTAGTGTAACTTAGTTCAGCTGTGTCAGTATTGTTTTCGAGTCTTTTTTGCACTGATGTCATGATAATATTCTCTCATATTTTCTTCTTCAAGCTTTAAAATGTTCTTCCTACACTTACATTTTTATTTCACTTGTAGTTTAGGTGTTGGTCGCTGGGAGGCAGAGTCCCGGTTTTATGATTACCTGTAGAGGCCAGTGTCTTAGCCGTGCTCTGCACAATCCAGCTGCTGCTCCCTGCTCTGTCCCAGCCATCACATTCCTTGGTTCTGCTTGTTCCGCATCACACCACCCTGCCTTTATTGTTACAGGTCTGTCTCTAAGAGCTTGTCTTTCATAGAGAAACACCTACCCAACTCCCTACCATGTTGTTTTCTTCAGAATTATTTGACAATTCTGGAATTTTAGACCTCAGATGGATTTTAAAATTGACCTGTTTAGATCCATTAAAAATCAGTTTTAATTGGGTATGTGTTTGAAATTATAGATTACTTTATGGTGAATTGATGCCTGTACAGTGTTCTGTTCATTCATGAAGACATTTTTTTCAGGTTTTCTTTCATGCCCTTGAAAATACCATTTAATATTTTTCTGTAAAAGTCTTTAACATCAAAAAGAGTCTTAAACATCTTTCATTAGATTTCTTCCTAAGTGCCTTATAGTTTCTGTTGTCAGCGTTAATGGGATTTAAGTCTGTTTGTTACTTTGATTTGTGGGGAGGATATAGCTTTTGTAGTATCTGTCTTATGATTAGAAACCTTGCTGAGCCCTCTATTTAATTACGCTGATTTTGCATTCAGATTCTGTTGTATTTCCTGTATAGACTTTTATCTGCTTTGTAAATAAAGACAGATATAGTTCTTTTCCATTTACAGGTTGAACATTGTGAGTAGTATTCAAACTTTATTCTGTATCATATTAGGAGCTTTTTAAATAGAGAAGTGACACTTACATATTTGCATTTTAGAAAGGCAGTTTTGGTGGCCAAGTGAAGATGTGACCAAAGATGACCCAGGTATCAGGATCTTATTACAGTCAAGTGCACTCCAGTGCTGAGTGCAGATCATAGCAGAAAGGAAAGAAAGGCAGAGATAGTGCAACAGATGTTTCAGTGTGAACCCCCAGGGGCCAGGAACATGGATAAATCTGAGGGTTAGGAGTCAACCATGATGCTTAGGTTTCTGGGTCTAAAATAATAGTGTTCATAAGAGGAGCAGCATGTTCTGTTGATAATCATTCTCACCAGTGTGTTTGAGTAGTATTTCTCTCAGTTCAACTCTGTGAAATCTCCATGTAGATAAGCGTCAGCCTGATACAGAGCTTCCAGTGACGGCGAGGTTGGAGAGTGAGCTTGATGGCTTAGATGTGGGTATCCTTATGGAGGAAGCCCCACTTGTCCTAGACCAAACTACAAACTTCAAAGAAGAGGCATTGGCCCTGGCAAAAGCAGGCGCAGCAAAGAAGAAGTCTAAAACTGAGAACGTGCTGTTTAGAAAAAAAGATATTCTGGAGCCAGCAGGATCGCAGCAAGTATGAAATCATTTCTTTCTTTCAGCCCACTCATATTAATCTGCCATTGTTTGTTTGTTTGTTTTTTTTAACTAAATAATTTTTTTCATGAATAAGGGAAAGATTGAGATAAAAGAGGACATAACAATATAGCAATAGAGGTCAAAGCATGACTGTTTCAGCAACCTAGTGCTTCACCACCAAATAACCTGACTTAATAGTAGTTACCATAGTGTCTGTCTTTTTCCTTGAAATATTTGAATAAAACTTCATTTACTATAGCTTCAAATATTTCCATATCAAGAAGCCCAGAATAAAGCCTTTCCAATTAATAAGTGAAAACTTTATAAGGCTTCAAGGCCACATAATGGGAAATTATGATTACCACATATTTTTATATATTTGAATGATTACTTACATTAGGGAAACTATTTGGTATTACACATGTGAGATTGATTTATTTCACTTATGAGTATGGTCTCAAGCTGCGCCCATTTATTGATAAATATCTCAATGTGATCCTTCTTTATAGCTGAGTAATACTCCATTATATAGAAATACCACAACTTTTTTATCCATTCTTCAGTTGATGGACACTTGGGTTGTTTCCAAGATCTGGCGATTACAAATTGTGCTGCTATAAACATAGGTGCACATATATCACTGTGGTATGATGCTTTCAGTTCTTCTGGGAATATGCCTAGAAGTGGAATAGCTGGAATAAATGGGACTTCCAATCCCAGCTTTTTGAGAAATCTCCAGACTGACCTCCACAAAGGCTGTACCAGTCTACACTCCCACCAACAGTGTAGGAGAGTTCCTTTTTCCCCACAGCCTCTCCAGCATTTGTTGTTGTTGGTTTTCTTTTTTTTTCAATTTTTTTTGGTCTTTTTCATTTTTATCGGTACCAGGGATCGAACTCACGACTGCCTGCTTGCAAGGCAGGTGCTTATGCCGCTGAGCTAAATCCCCAGCCCCTGTTGTTGGTTTTCTTAATCCTGGCCATTCTTTCAGGAGTGAGATGGTATCTCAGTGTGGTTTTAATTTGCATTTCTCTAATGACCAATGATGATGAACATTTTTTCATGTATTTATTTGCCATTTGTATTTCTTCATCTGAGAAGTGCTTATTCATCTCAGATGCCCATTTTTTGGATTGGATCTTTGAATTTTGGGGGTTTGAGTTTTTTTAATTCTTTATATGTTTTAGACAAGAGTCCCTTGTCTGAGAGAGAGTTCCATTTACACAATCTTTTCCCAGTTTGTGGGTTTTCTTTTCACTATGCTGGAGATTTCTTTTGACATGCAGAAACTTTTTAATAAGAAGTGGTCCCAGTTATTGATTCTGGGAAGTATTTCCCGTGTGGTTTGAGTCCTGTTCATGAATTCTCTACCTACTCCTATGTCTTCAAGGTTTCTACCCAATTTGTCTTCCAATAGATTTAGTGTTTCTGTTTTAATATTCAGATCTTTGACCCATTTAGATTTTAATTTAGTACATGGTTGTTCGGTTTCATATTAGCTAGTTGATGGGGCTAGTGTTTTATTTCTCAGGTAGTTGAGTGCCAGAGCTCTTGAGTCTGGTAATGTAAGATGATTTATTTTAATTCCAGGTCGTTCATGCCTATTAACCAAAAAAGTTTTTAATACTGTTACTAGGACAGGGCATTGTCCCTTGTCCTAGTTCAGTAAGCTCCTAACTAATTTGATGCCGTGGTCCTAATTGAGAAGGCTATTTTAGAATGCAGTGTGTTTTCTGCTGCTGCTTTGAAAGTATGAGATTTAAGAGGACTTAAGATTTGGTTGCTGCAAAAGTGATAACTACTATTCATTAATAATCACTGAATAGGGTGTGGTGGCACACACCTATAATCCAAGCACTCAGGAGGCTGAGGCAGGAGGATTATTTTGAGTTTGAAGCCAACCTGGGCTACAAGAGTGAGCTCAAGATCAGCCTTAATTATAGAGAGAGACTCTGTCTCAAAAAGCTTGCCACCCCCAAGTCCCTAAATACTAAAGAGCGTCTTGGATAAGTGCTCTTTAATATACCTTGGGAAGTCAGCTGGATAGTTAGAACTTGGTTTGAAACCACATTAGATTTTAGACTTCTATTTAAATTTTCCTTAAGGGACTACCATGCAAAACTGGCCAGCAGAGTACCTTCTACTACAGGAAGCCATACTGTGTGGATGCCACTTGCGGTGCTGTCCAAAGGGTTCTAGAGCAAACCTGTGTATGTCAGATGGCCCCAGAACAGGGAGCATTAACATTTATCACCAGTCCCTGACAGCTCATGGCTTAAGGTCAAGTCCTTCTTTCTTTCCCGAAAATATCTCTACTAGGGGCTGCAGAGGTGTCAGGACTGAGTCTATAAGAATTCAGTTCGGTGTTCTCAGAGACAGAGCCCCCTGCTCTGCAGCTTCTTCAGATAGCGTTGTTCAGACCTTTTAGACCTAAGGCTCGGAGAGGTTAAGTATTTTAACTGAATGTTTTATAATTTCCCTTTAAACAATATGGAATTGAAACATTAAAAGTTTAATTAGGAAAAAAATGTATAAATAAATAAGAATACAGTTTATATAGATAAAAAGATGGCAGAGCCAGGCATTTGAGTTCTCTTCCTCAACACTACCACCAGGTTACTTCAGTGTAATTTATACCCTTCTCTAAGTGCCTACACAGTGCTTTCTTCTTAGGTTTGCTGAATGGGCACATGAACAACGTAGAAGCCCTGGGTACTTTATTGAGTCAGAGGTTGAAACCAGAGTGTCTTTGATGCATGTTTGGCCTTTTAATTCATGTTTACCTCTTACAGGGATTGCACAAAGCTGAAATAAGTAGACCAGGCCAACCTCACAGCAGGAACAGGTTGCATCAGACAACAGTGTCATCCAGGTTAAAAATGAACCGACAGCCTGTGAGAGACCACAGGGCTCCCTGGATACCCCCACACCCCACCTCCCCACCAGCATCTCCTAAATGGTATGTGCAGATTCAAGGACCCACTGCGTGTGGGAGTGTCTTTATCCCCCGTGGGTGGGAATGGCAGCTTTAATTCTTCCTGTTAAGAAGAAATGTTAGCCAGGTGTGGTGGTACACTTCTATAACCTGAGCATTCTGGAAAGTCGAGGCAAGTGGATGTCAGGTTCAGCCCTAGCCTGTGCAACTTAGCAATTTGGCAAGACCCTGTCTCAAAATTTTTAAAAAATGTATGTAGTCAGTGTGAAAGTCCTTGGTTTAATCTCCAACAGCACCAAAAAACAAACAAACAAAAGCAAAAATAGAGAGAAGAGGAAGAAGTGAAAGCAGGAATGCTTAGTAGTAGTAGTAGTAGTAGTAGTTGTGGCGTAGAGGGAATAACAGTGATAGTGCTCATGTGGGATAGTGCACATTAGAATTTGTATTCAGGGCCTGTTGGTTCCTTTTCAGCCTGCCTGCAGTTGGAGTGGCTTGGCTCCCCAAGGGGCACTCCAGTACTTAGTGGATCTGTGTCATTTTAGGAAGATCAGGGCTTCCCTTGTGTCTTCCCCCAGCAGCTTCTGGTTCCTTGAGGCTGTCTTTTTAAATTTAATGCCCATTGCCTGGCACGTAATAGGCAACCATCAAATCTTTGCTGAATGACTAAACATTTAGACATAATCCACTGACACTGTTAAACTTCAGGGGACAGTTTGGAAAATGCTGGCATTCATGTCTTGTCCCCCACATTCATAGCACGTAGAGAGTGAGGAGCTGTCTGTCATTCCACAAGGCCATAGGGAAGGCATTGTCTTCCAGGGAGAGCAGAGCCCAGTAGGGAGCAGTCTTTGGGAAACTTGGTTAAAGTTAAAGGGGAGCTTGTTAGCCATGGCTCAGTGGTTCTTGATAACACTTCGGAAAGGAGAGGGGTAGAATAATATAGAGAACAAGCCCAAGCCTATAATGTAAGGAGAACAAGGGGGAAAGTCCGTGACTGAAGACTGTGCCTGTAGGGAGGCCATCAGATGACAGAGTCGGTAAGAGATCTCCCCTTCAGGTCCTCAGGGTTCCAACTCAGTGGCAGCGCTTAGCCATCAGCCCCACTGTGAGGGAAAGAAGCAGTGTTGAGACGGTGTAAGGTCTTACTTGTATCACAGACTTGATACTGAAGTCAGGTCTTCACAGAGTTATGACTTCAGTTAGTAAGCCCATAAAAGCGTAAATGGATTGAAGTTGGCATGGCAAACCCAGTGCACAGCGGTTTCCCTTTAAGAGTGCGGGTATGTCAGCAGACCCGGACGGCTTCTCCGCTCGCTGTGCTGTGTTAGGCCTCGTAAAGAATCATGTGAGGATGTAACAGGGAATATTATTACTGCTCAGCCCTCCATATTAAGGCAGGTTTGTTGCAGTTCACCCTGTATTCTGTAATTACATCTGTTTTCCCCTTTAAATAGTAACTGCTCCTTTGAAACAAAAGAAACTTCTCCCCCTACACTGGGTCTGAATGCAGGAGGACCTCGGTCTCCCCGACCTTCAGGTTTCCTGTGTGTGGGTCACCATGACTGTAATGCTCTCGTCTCCCCCGGGCCGGGAGGGAAGGATGACAGAGGTACCCTTCCATTCCGTGCAGCGCTGCCTGGCTAAAGGTGAAGCGCAGCCCCCGAAATGCTGCAAAAGAAGAGTGTCTCCACCAGGAAGGTGTCTCAGAGGAAGGCCAGCCAACGGGTGCCACAGAGCAGGAGGCGGCCAGGTTCGTGCTGGTGCTTTTCAAGTCTTTGAAAATGAAAGGACTTCTCTTATAGACTGAAGTAAACCCTTTCTTGTCTTCCCCACATCTAAAGTTGGTTACTTAAAATATAGATTGTTAAACTTTTCTGTTAAACTATGCAGCTTACATGAGCCCCTCTTTTATTCCTGATTTCATTCATTCAAAAATTATATGTACGTTAATTATGCTAGTTTTATATCTGACACAGTTCGTGAGTTCTGTGAAGACCTTAAACGAAAGGGGCGAGCAAAACATAATCCGAGCCCCTGCTTTTTAGAGTCAGTAGGAAAAATATGTAATTAGCTGTGACTTAAACCAGAGCACTGTATATATCCTAAGAACTGAGAGAATTTAGAAGGCAGAGAGGTTTCTTCTAGCAGTAGAATCCAGGTTTCACAGAGGGAGATAGAAATTAAACCAGGACTTGTGCAGTTAGGACTTAAATATGGGGGCTATGCTGAGAACAACAGGCCACTAAGTGTTTGTTTGGCTGAAATTATCTTCCAGTTGTGGGAAAGCAAAATAAAAATGAATCATTAGGGCTGAGAGTATAACTCAGTGTTGGAGCACTTCCCTAGCATGCGTGAGACCAAGTTTGAGCCTACAGCTTAAAAATAAAAGTGCAGTCACTAAACAATTTGATAATATCCATGTATCCCAAACCAAAGAACCAAACCACTTTTGTATACAATAGCATCGTTTGGAGGAAACTTTTCCCTTTTGTTTTTATTTTGTTATGCCTACATGGGGTTCTGTTTCTTTGTCTAGACTTGACGATACAGTAGGGTTTGTTTTAGCCTAACAAAAACTCCGAAGTACAGCATTGCCTGGCTTTCTTGACATTTTTTTGTTCTGCAAACTAATCGAAGTGCTTTTTATGCATAAATTTCTTTGTGTAGGAGACATGATACGGAATGCTTTTGCAGGCACACAGACGTTACATGTCTTGCTGAGTCTTGAATGAAACAAGGCTTGGTGAGGGAATGGGCTCCCTCCCTTTTGCTGTTTCTGTGGCAGTGATGCCCTGCAGCACTGGGCATAATTGGTTTGGCTCTTTTGTATTGTTAGGCTTGCTTGGCTTGATGCCAAATCTTCCAAAGGATCGAAGGAACTAGAAGATTTAAAAGCCAGAGAAATGGACAGAATGCAAAGACAGAGGTAAGTATTTGTGGCTGAGGCAGAAAAAAGTTAAGAGTGTCATATTCTATATCGTTAATTGTCTTAACAACCAGCGGAAGTGGGCATTTCCAGCTGCTCTTCAGTGCCTCTCGGCTTCCTGCCTCCTGGGAGGGCTGTGAAGCCACCTCAGGACCAAGCAGCAGAGCCAAGGCTAGAACAGGGCGAGTCGGACTCTGTCCTGAGGAGAGCTGGACTGACTCTGCTCTTCCTCTAGGCTCGACTGGCTTGATGCTGAGACTAGCAGAAGAACGAAGGAATTGAACAAACTAAAAAGTGAAGAAATGGATCGACTCCACAAATTAAGGTACATGTTTACTTCTGAGGGTGGCTGAGAAATGCTTGTCTGTTCTCAGTGAGCCAGACAGCTTTGACGGCTGAGACTGTCCAAGCCTAACCGTGATACGAGTAGGTGAATATGTGCATGAAGTGGTGAGCGGGCACCTGCATGTGTGCATAGCTGGTACAGCTTATTTTTTAGGAAGTGTTTCCCTCTGCAGAGTTTGATGGAAAATTGAGGAACATCTATCCTTTGAGCACAGCCCTTTGTGAAATATTAAACTCTTCTGTTTGCTTCTTCGTTTGTACCGTCTCAAGGATTCCTTTCCCCTGCCCAGTGCCAGCCCTGCTAAGGGCAGGGAGGGTCCACGTGATGTGTGTGTTTTACTCGTGGGTGAATGCATAGAGCTTGGGTTTCACTTGTTTGCTTGAGTGCAGTCTACAGTTTTCAATGGAGGTTGGGTTTTTTCCATTCATTCCTTCAAGACTGTTACTCTCTAACTACAAGGCATGAAGTTGGTTAAAGATTTAGAGCTGCTGCTGCTGCTGCTGCTACAGTTGGCTCGTTTTTTCAGCTGTGATAATCATTCACCCTACAGTCAGATAAATAAAACATTTATTGAAACATCTGTGTTATTTGACCATTCATGACAGTGTGTTCAATCCCAGTGGCAAGGCTTTGATTCTGTCATTAGAGGACCAAGTTGAAAACATAGTTAAGATTTCAAGTGATACAATCATAGACTCTTAGAATGTGGAGGGTCCTTTTCCCCCAACTGATTCTTCCAGGGACCCTGTAATGTTTCCACAGAGTGACTTCTAGCATGTGCATATACACTCTGTGTGATGGGACGCTTCATACTACTGCAGGAAGTCCATCCCTTGGTCATCTGTCGCTGTTAGAAGGAGTGACCTTAGATTGTCCTGAAATTGGATTCCCTATGACTCCTTCCTACTTGGAACCATGTAGCAAAAGGATAATCCTCTGAACTACGTATATCTGTTTGATGATTTTTTTGTTTAAAAAATTAAATATATAGACAGAAGGACATTCTAGATGCATATATGCAACACAAACATTACAAAATGCGTCCCCAGGAACAACCAAGAAATAGACTATCGCCGTACCGTAGAAGCCCCCATTGTGCCTCTTCCCCTCATCCCCATTTTTCCCTAAAGCAGCCATTGCCCTGGCTCTTGTGTTATCTTCTTGTTACCCTTCTTCGTGAACCCTCCACCTCCGGGTGCACCTGACCCAGCATACCTCTACATTTTGAAAATTGAGATGCACTAGTCTAGCAGAACGAGGAAAACAGTGCTGCTGCGTGAGAGAAAATAGGTCCCACAGAGTCTCATCCACAATCTGACCACACTTCCTTGGGGCTTTTAGGAGCCCAGCCCAGGAATCAGCATGCCAGCTCTTGAGTGAGTCCTGGCAGGGGCAGGGGCTGTGGCCCCCACCTTCTGGCAGAAGCCTGACTGGGGAAAGCGGCCGACCTGTCGTGCTCCTGTTCTCAGCTCCTTCTGGCCCCTCTGTGTCCCAGGAAGAGGAGGAAGTCCAGCAGCAGCAGGCCCGGTGAGCCGCCCACCCAGGCCGGCTTGCTCTGTGCTTTCCCACACTGCACTGTCTTCTTCCTTCCTGTACTTGCTTGTTTAATAGATCACATCATAATTTAGCAATGAGAAATCATACCCTTCAAGTCTAAAACTGTTTTTTTTTTTTTTTTTCATGTTTGCTGATAGTCTAGACGGATGTAGAATTCTGCATTGAAGAATATTTTAGTGGAACTATTTAACTTTTTGAGATAATTGTTCATTCAGGTCGGGTGTGGTGGCACAGACCTATAATCCCAGCACTTGGGAGGCTGAGACAGGAGAATCTTAATGAGTTTGAAACCAGTCTGGGCTACATAGTGAGTTCAAGGCCAACCTGAACTATAGAGTGAGTCCCTAGCTAAAAAAAAAAAAAAAAGTACGTTCACATGAAGTGAGGATAATACAGAGAGATCTTGGATTCCCTTTACCCGGTTCCCCAGTGTAACATTTTGGGAAACTGTAGTAGATACTACAGCCAGGGTGTTGACACTGACACAGTGAAGACACACTGGATTGGCACACGTGCAATCAGTGGTATTTCCATTACCACAGAGATGCACAGCATTCCCCTGGAACAGCCATCCTGTTCCCTTCTGTTTGCATCCACTGCGTGGCAGAGTGACCCAGGACAGCCACTGCTCTGTTCTCCCTGTTCATCCCTTTTGTTTCAAGATTGTTACGTAAGTGGAAATGTTGGCGTGTAACCTTTCGGACTGGCTTTTCCCCTTCCGCAATCAGCTTCACCCGGGTCGTTGCACCTGGATAGCAGCCTGTGACACAGGGATACGAGCATTTGCCTGACCAGTCATCGGGTTAAACATCGGATGACATCTGGCTCATTTCCAGTTTGGAGATAGCGTGAATAAAATTTCTGTAAACATTCACGTTACATGAATGTAAGCTTTCATTTGTTTGGAATAAATGCCTGGAGTGTGATTGCTGTGTTGTATGTTCGTTGTATGTTTTGTTTTGTACAAAATTGCCTAATTTTTGGAGTGGTTCTCAGTTCCAGGTGGTTGTTTTTTGTTTTTGGTTTTGGTTTTGGTTTTATGAGACAAGGCCTTGTGCTGTAGTTCAAGCTGGCCTTAAACTCGCTGGGCTCAAATTCTTGGTAATTCTCTTGCCTCAGCTCCCAAGTGCCGAGATTTTTTCTACAGGCATGTGCTGCCATACCTAGCTGTTGTAATTTAAGCTTTAATTTAAGCTTATTTTAGTTTTAATTTAAGCTTATTTGCTCTGTCTTCCTAGGCTGTGCCTTTCTTGGACCTTTGACTAAAGCCGTGGGCTTTTATTTTATGTTCTGTTTATGTGTCTATTCGCCTTTCTGGGTTGCTAGTTTTTCCAGGATCTACTTTGGAGACGAGCAGACACCAGGGAGCCCAGCCCCCTGTCATTCTTTTGGTCCCAGAGTCCCCAGCTTGTCCACCTTCATTTGCCTTTCCAAATCTCCTTCTTTTGGTTTATATTTAATATCTAGGGTTCTTAGTTGTACTTAACAGGGATAATAGAAGAAATATATTTATTCTTTTTCTCCACTCAGAGGAAGTTGGATCAAAATTTTTAAAGCATCACCTCATTTCTCATTGTTTTGCTTCCAGTGAGAATTCTGAATCTTACTTTCTGATATTTCTGTAGAAATTTAAACTCTTCTTTTCTACAGTAGGACTGGATGTGTATGTATTTCCATTTATCAGGAGACCTTTTTTCATTTGGCCATCTATTTGTTTCAATTCTTTTTTTTTTCTTGATACTGAGGATCGAACTCGTGACCTTACGCTTGTCGGGCTGGCACTTGTGCCACTGTGCTATATCCTTGGCCCTATTTACCTGAATCCTAAGAAATGTTCTTGCTCTGTTTTACATGTTTTCCTTGCCTCTTTTTTCTTTTCTCTCTTTCTGCATCTCCTGTTGTTTGATGTTGAACTTCCTGGGTTGGTCTTCTGATTTTCCGTTTTTTTCCTTATTCTTCTTAAAAGCTTTTTGTTAGAGTGTGCCTGCAGCACATGATGAATGTACCCATCATGGGTGGGGAACACACACTTGTCACATCTTCATCTTTATTACTTCCTCTTCCCTCTCGCCTTCCCCATTTCCAGATCACCTTCAGTCTGCACAAAGCTGCCGATTGTCTGCCTTATTTTTCCTAGTTCCTTTCTCCTCCCCTCCCATACCTCCACCTGCCACCTGGGAGTGATTTCCTCACACTTACTATTTCACTTACTGGGCTTGTTGTTTCTGCTACTGGGTTTGTAAAGTCTGAGAGCTCTGTTGTGCTCTCCAGATTTCTCTTACTTACTAGTCTCCTGTTCCATGGATGCATTGCATTCACTCTAGGTGTGAAAGCTACGCTTTCCCCTACTTTGCCCTGTTTTAAGGCCTCTCTTTTCTCAGCTAGCAGTGCTTCCCTGTCTTGTGATATATAAATGTAGGGATTGATTGCTGCTTGGAAACTGTATTGGTGTTAGTATTTAGTGTTAGGGGCTTTTTTTTTTTTTAACACTTTGCATATATTGAGATGTGATACACTTTGCATATATTGAGATGCAAAAGATTTAAAGTACAGTTTAGTGAGTTTCAAAGATGCATTATGCACCAACAAAATCCCAGTCATGGTAAAAAAATGTCCATCAACCTAGAATGGTAGTCCATTTTCATACTGTTATTCCCTTATCCCATGGTACCTCAGCCCTTAAGGAGGCAGCACTTTTTGAAATCTGTCTCTGTAAAATAGTTTTCCTTCTTCAAGGGCTTCAGATAACAGAATTGTCAGGATCCATTGCTTTGTGTCTGGCTTCTTTTGCTTAACAAGATAATGTAAATTCACACATTGTGCCTATATCAATATAGTTCACTCCATTTTATTCCTGGATTAAGCTCATTACAGGAATATACTACATTCTATTTGTCTATTCTGTGATTCAATATTGGGATCATTTCCCACTTGTAGTTAGTATAAAGTTTTAGAAATACAACTTCATTTCTTGTGGCTAAATACCTAGGACTCAGATTTTTAGGCCGTAGGATAGGTGGTTGTTTAACTTTTTAAAACTGGCATTACAGATTTTTCAGAGCAGTTGTAACATTTATCCTGCTGTCAGCAAGGCACGGAGTCTTGCACTGTTGCTTCACATCCATGCTCATGTTTGGCTCGCCAGTCTTGGCAACTGTACCCCTGCTGGTGGTTTTGTTTGCATTTCCTTGATGACTAATGATGAGTACCTTTTCTAGTGCCTACTGTGAAATATCCATTAAAGTCTTTTGCCAGTTTCTTATTGGTGTTTTGTTTTTGTTTCTTAATTACTGATTTGAGATCTTTACAGTGGTACCTTGGTTCATGAACTCACTCACTTGATTCCATGATTTTGGTCACAAACTGAACTAGATGAGAACTAAATCAAATTTCTCTATAAAATCAACATTGACCCCAAACCACTGAATTTGACTTGCTTCTCATCCAATCTGGTTTGCAACCAGAAGAGCAGAAAGAGTTAGGTCCGTGCACCAAGGTACCACTGCGTATTTTCGAGATGCAGTCCCTTGCCAGGTGTACGTGCCACAGATGCATCCTCCCAGTGTGGGCTTGTGCTCTGTATCTTTTTTTATTAGTTCATATTTACAGTACATAATGATTATCTTTATCGCCTTAATGGTGACTAGAAGTTTTAAATTATGATTAAGAAGTTTGTCTTTTTTGAACAGGTTTTTTGTGAACTCAAAGATATTCTTGTGTATTTTCTTTTAAATACTTTGTTGCTTTGATGTCTGTGATCCACTTTGAATTAATTTTTATATATGATCACAGGTCATTTTTTCCCTTGTGGATATCTGTCCACTTCAGTACCACTTGCTGAAAACATTGTTGAACTTGTGCTGCCCTTGGGCCAGCTGGATGGACTGTCGGGGGTCCTCTTGTTAATCTTTCACTCTTACTTTCCAAGTGGGTCAGACTTACCGGGCGGCGGGGTGGGGGTAGGGGGGGGTGGGGGTGTTTTTGATCTTTTTCCCAGAGCATAAAAGTGTGGACACAGGTGCCTTAGGAATTGGGGAGAGGGCTGTGGGTCTCACTGCTCAGCATTCAGCCCCCTTCTTTTCAGTACAGTACTTTCAGCCTTGACTGTGATTGGTGTCTCCTAGACCGGAGACCCTTCAGAGAATGAGCAGCGGGACAGAGAGAGAGGGAGGCAGTGGTCAGACTGTGTGAAGCTGGGCAGGGGCCCCTGGGGACCTCACTTTCCAAGTGCCACTTGGCTCTTTTCTTCTATTTTAAGCCACCTCCTCCCAGTTTTCCTAGAAACACCTGGTACTGCCAGTAATGTGCCCGCTGAAAACGGTCAATAGCACAGACTATGTGATTCTCAACTTCCTGCATTCCCCTAGCCCGAAATTCAACTTTCTTGGGTCAGCTAAGTTAGTTAACACTTTTGTCTGTTGTCTTCTAGTACAATTTTTTTCCTTCCTGTTTTTGTGGGTTTGTATCTAATTCCACTGTTATTCTAGTGGGGGTTTTAAAGTGAACAAAATTAATTTCTGTGGTTTAGCCTGTTTAGAAACTGTTATTTTGTAATGTATCGTGGGAACCTAACATGCTTGTCCAGCTGTGGCCTGTGCCCTGTATTCCAAGTGGTATCACCTGTGAGCTTATTGGAACTCCAGCGTCCAGGCATCCCAGGGACCTACAGAATCAGAATCTATAGTTTAACGAGGTTCCTAGGGGGTTTGTATGGGCACTGTAGTTAGAGAAACACTGGTTTTTATAACCATTTGATTTCTCTTCATCTGGAGTAGTTAGACAGCATGCAAACTAGGCTTTTGACCTGAAATTTTTATTTTATTTCCAGTGTCTCTGCCACCCAGTTAGCAGACAAGGTAGAGGCGGCAGTTCTGGAGCGTTTGAAGCCCCTCTTGGTCAAGGCCCAGGTAATCTGTTTATTCTATTTGCTTGCTGTTCAGAAGTTCTGTAATGCAAAAGAATTGCTGCCAAGGTCACACAGAACCCCGCAGATGAGGCAAGGGTCTGCCTGGCAGCTGGAAGTCACAGTGCTCATCAGCCTGTGCTGCAGAGCCTGGGCGCTGTGCTGCTGCTGTGCCTTTGGCATCCTGGACTGCCACACAGTTGGCATGTCCTCTGTCACAGAGAAGAGCTACAGATGAGAGGGACAAGGAAGAATTGCGGCTCTTGAGAAAGATGAGGGTTTAATTTGGGGAACAAGTTCAGATTTCAGTTTCCGTTCCTAACCAGGCAGATCTGCTGGTTGGCAAGGCGAGGTGCTTCAGTCTAACATGCCCTTGCTCACCTCTGGCTTGCAGTACTTGACTGTTTTGCCCGCACGTAGAGCAACTAGGACATGTCTGTGCGCAGCCAGTACTTCCTTGAAGGTGAAACAGCATGTGGTACTGCCAAGAGATTGTGCCGTCATCTTGCAAGCATGGAGCTAAGTTAATTTTATAGCCAGATCCTGTAGCTCTGCCTATAAATAGAGACCATTGTGTTTGGATGAATAAGATGAGGCTGCAGAAAAATACAAGTTTTCAATGGAATGAATGGCGTTCTGGGTCTCTGCACAGACCTCTGAACTTCCATATTTCTAGGTGAAGAGATGTTAAATTAGTGTTAGAGTCCATGAAAGAAATCTCAGGAATGTCAAGCAGGGAGCCTTCTTAGAGGGAAGAGTCCAGCCTCCAGATTTTATCCTCGTGGAAACTGGATCAGAGAAGTTGACTGACTTGCCCAAAAGCACACAGCTACACTGGCAGTGTTTATATAGTTGGAGGAAACAGCATGCAGAGCCAAGAGCAATACATGGCACTTAATTTCTTGAAGACAAAGGTTTTTTAATTGCTGCAGAAAGCCTAATGCAGCCTTGAGCTGATGAATAATTGTACACAGAAGTTTTTCTAGTAGCAGGATTCATTTGGGCTAGTGTGAGTTGTAAGTTTTTATAATCCCTGAATGTATTTGTTCATTTTAATAGAGAGTTAATTCTTCTGTGGAAGCAGATATGCCTTTGAAGGATCGTCCGTCATCGGACACGGCAGCCCGGCCTGCAGAGCAGGTGTGTTGTTGATGTTTGAGTGTTGTTACATGATGATATCTCTGGCTGAAGAAAAGTGGTGTGCAAATTACTTTACAAACAACATATTATCCTACTGAAAGCAGATAAAAATTACTTTTTATCTCTGGCATGTTAATTTTTACAGGGTTTATTCAGCTAACTTAGTTCAGCTAACTTAGATCAGCCTTTTTTTGTTTGTTTTTTGCTTTTCTTTTTTTTTCTACAAGCAGCTTTTGTCAGTGGCTCTTTTATCTCCTGCTGGCGCAGAGTGTGGATGCGCTGTGGCCCTGGATGTTTGTGGCCTGCACCAGGAGAATGGCTGCCCTCATTTCCTTCCTTTCGGCTCATTACTGGCCTAATTTCCCTTCTACTTAGGATCTAATGTTTTTGTTAGGCAAGCATGTTTTGAGTGCTTAGTATGTGGCCAGTATCTGCCTGGCAAAGAAAAGAGGTCTAGGAAAGAATGAAAACAACTGATAAAAATAAGAGCATTTTGTTGTTGTACACGCTATGCTCTTCCTCTGGGGAACTTGCTCCTCATACTCTGGGGAAGGCGCTTGCCTTGCTTAGACTTAAGCAAGGGTGCGAGTGCGAGGATGCGAGTTGCACCCATGTGATCATGGGATTGAGGAGCTGTTCACTGCCTTCGTGCTCGGTGCAGGTCAGACCAAGTATAAAGGCTTCGGCGTTGGAAGGAGGTTAGAGTGAGTCTCCACCAGCCCAGTGACATTGGGAGCAGGAAGAAAGGTTCTGAGAGTTCATCTCTCATAGATGCTGTTAACAACATGTTTACATAATTTTTGAATTACAGCCTTTTTATGTCAGTACTTTGTGACAGAATTTCTTGTGACGGGAAACTGAAAGTCATTCTACACTCAGGAGAGCTTCAGCAGAGCCACCAAGTGACTTCCACCCCTCCTCAGCAAAGTAGTGGGCTAGTACCTAACCCAGAGGGCAGCAGGCTGCCGAGAGAGCAAAACCCGACAACAAACCAGACATGTCCGAGTATCACCAAGCGCGTTCAGTCTTGTATATTGAGAGTTCAGCTTTAAACCATCTGTAGTACAACTCATTAAAAGAGAAAAGTAACTCTGGCATTTAGAGTTCTGGAATGTTTTAAATATTATCACCTTGGCAAGGAATTTCTCAGACAGTGCCATCAGTAGTCATTGTTTATTTTATTTAATTTATAAATAACTGAATAAAATAAATAAACAGATGAACTAACTCATAGAAGTCAGCATGATAAAGTAGAATTTTCCCCCATTGTTAACCTATAAAAGAGTAGTGGTACCTGGCACATACATTCTCAGATTCATCATCTTTAAAATGGAGAAGACATTTGCCATGTTTCACATGTACTTACTAAGCAAAATCAGCTCTCCGTAGATTTACCAGTAAGGAAAATGTCTGACAGCAGGAACCAGGAAAAGTTCTTTAAGGGACCCGTGATGACATTGTCTGTAACTGCAGCTGTTTTAACTAAAGCTGTATATGAAATATATTTTTCTAAAAGTAGGAGTTTTTATTTAGAATTCAAAGTTATATGTATGTGGCCACAGAAAAAGTGCAGAAACAAAAGTTAAAACACTCCCTAACAGACCTATGCTGTTCTGTAGCATGCTTTGTTCTTTATATCTTCATGTTTTTCCATATCTTCAAATTGAGACCCTTTTTTATCCTTCTTATTGGCACTTCGTATTGTTTGCATTCCATTTTCTATAGATGGAAGACATTGGGCCAGGAATCCAGCTCGGTGGCACAGCACCTGCCTGGCAAGTGCATGGTCCTGAGTTCAATTCCTAGTACTAAAGAAAACACGTGTAAACACACACATGTCTCAATTAACTACATCTGCATTGTTGAGTGTCTAGATTTTTAATAATTTTATTATATAGGCCAAATTTATTTTTATTTCTTTAACCTTGATTATGCTTGGACTTTTTCATGTATTATTGGTAATTTATATATCTTTTCTGCAAACCGCTGAAAATGCTTCTTGGGATTACTGTAGCAGTAGCCTTTCGTTGACTGTCTTTTTCATGCCAAGCGCTGTGCTAAGTGCTGTAACCAGCAAGTTCCCTTGAAGCCCTTCTAACTCTGAAATGCAGGATTCTTGTTTCCATAGTGCAGATCAGAAGACTGTGGCTAAGAAAGGTTGGTAAACGTGCCCAAAGCTGCAGACTTATGAGTGGGCAAAACCAGGCTTCAGTCCCAAGAATATCTTGTGCTTTGCCTAGCAAACATTGTACAAGCCTCTTTCAGAGCAGACTATAGATATATATGAAAACTGAGAGAAAGAAAATGCATACAAAAATCCTTTGCAAGCTGTATAAAGCCCTCTGAGATTATAGCCATAGAGTATCAGACCAAGGCAGCCTGATCTTTGTGATGTCACGAAGCTTTTACAAAACCATTGACCCCAAAGGGAAAAGCTATGTCCCCTACAGTTTGTGGCATGTAAAATACGGTACATTCTCCTGAATGTGGGAAAAGGAAAATATGCTTTAGCAATGGCAAAACAGATGACAATGCTAATTTAGTAGACAATAATGGTGTTACACATTTAATACTGTGATTTTAATGACCCTGATAAAAATTGTATTCATATTAGTGCTTTTAACATTTACTGACTTAGAGGTTTGTTTTAGCCTAGAAATTCTGCCACTTGAATCATTAAGCTGTTGGTTTATTGTGATCAGCAATAATCTTTAATGTTTCTCTCATTTCTTTTTATTACCTTCCACCACTCCTTCCTTTGTTTTATAGGATACAGCAGCTAATTCTGAAAGCAACAATCTTCATCCGCCGAATAACTTTTTGGAAGATGCTGCTCATGAGCTCTGGGCTGTGACTCATGATAAGATCTTGGGGTCAGAAAACTTAGACACCCTATGGGGCGGCAAGAACAGCCCGAATCTGGAGACCATGATGCTCCGAATGGAGGAAATGGAAGTAAGGGACCTGGTTTGCCACTGGGCACTCACCGCTGTTTTTCTCGTGTCTCTGGTGTTTAATTAAGTCGAAGTCACGTGGAGTCCTAACTCTGTTGTCAGCTAAGTGTATGACCATGGTGTATCACTTGCCTTGTCTGATACATGTGGTGTTTGAAGACAGAGTGGGGTACAAAGATTGAGCGCACTGTCTGAGATCCAGGCAGTTAGTGCTCATTATCACTGCCCCCTGATAAGAATGATTTAACTCCAGAACTGCTGGGACCAGGATCTAGTTCCATAGATGGGACCGTCTGACAGTGTCTAAGTTCTTTTCAGTTGCTTCTTCCACCCTGCTGGAGTCTGATCCTCTCAAATCACAGAGACTATTACTTTAATTTCCATGATGCTGCTTTAGAATGTTTTTCTTATAAAACTTCAGATCTCAGGCATTACTCAACATAACCCCTGGTTATTCAGGGCAGTTAAATGAGACCCAGTAAGAGTGCTGTGACTAAGTCACTGTCTCCGCCCCTCAAAAATGCTGGAAGAGCTCAGATGTGAATTCAGGTGTGCTGGCACCAAATTTGGTTTATTTTCTTTTTACTTATTCCATGATGAAATCTCTTATTTTTTGCTGCTAAATAAAAACATTATGGAAAAAATAAATTTTTGTTGACTTTTGAAAATGTAAAGATACACATTTTATCCTAGTCTTGCAAGTGCTTTCCCTTTCTTGGGGTAACTGTTCAGACCTGAGCTGTCCCAGATGGTAGCTACCAGCCACGTGTGAAGGTTGAAGTGTAAATTAATTAAAATTCACACACACTACAAGTGGTTGGTAGTAGTGGCTGCAGTTGTGGAAAAAGTACTAAAGAGCCCTCTGTCGTCACAGCGGGTTCCAGTGGAGCTGAGCTAGATTGCAGCCGTGTTAATTGCGTTACTTTCTTTCACCTCCTGATCATGTCCTGGCCTGGCAGCTGCATTCTTAAATTTGTCTGCATTAATGGTGTTGCCTAATCTTTTCCGTCTTTACTAGGTCTGTTTTATAATGAAACTCATTTCTTCTCATAAATACAACTTTTTTTTTTAAAGAAATACCAGGAGACAGTTCGCCAAAGATACAGTAAAATTGTATACACGGATCCTCATTTATGGATGCAGGAAGAAAGAAATGGTATGTGTTTTCCCACTTTTCCTCCCAATTTTGTATTCTAAAACATTTCAAGTACACAGAAAAGCTGAAAATTGTATGCTGAATTCTCATATACTTGCTTTCTGCATTGTACAGTTAATGTTTTGCTATATTTACTTAGTCACCTGTCTTTTTTTGTTTTGTTTTGGTTTGGCTTTGGTTTTGGTTTTCTGAGACAGGATCTTGTGTGTGATCCAGGGAGTCCTTGAATTCACTGTGGAACCTAGGTTTGCCTATCGAGTTCTGGGATTGGAGGTGTGTGCACCCTGCCTGGCACCTCTCTCTTCTTCTGTCACCGTTCATTACTCATTCAGCCCTGGCACCGAACTACATCCCAGCCCACTTTGTTTTTTATATTGAGACAGAACCTTACTAAGTTGTCTAGATGGGACTTGAACTTGTGACTCTTTCGCCTCTGTTTCCCAAATGTTGGGGTCACAGGCAGGAGTGCCATCATTTCTGGCTGCCAGTTCATCCTGTCTGTTTAAGTATATTTTATTTGTACATCTCAGAGTATACTGGGGATTTGGCTTAAGAGTACCTGGCCCTAGGGTCAAACTTCGGTACCATACAAGAAAAAAACAAAACTGAAACAGCCAGAGTTGCCAGATATGAATACATTTTACCCCTAAATATGCAGTGTGTACCCCATCAACTAGGGTTTAATATTTATGATTCTCTTTGTTTTCTGAGATAAGATTTACACACAACAAAACACAGTCTTAGTTGCCATTTAATAGATCTTTGACCAGTGGGTACATGTGTCTTACCCAGATGCATATCCAGACATAGCACGTACCATCACCTCAGAAAGTCCCCTCGTGCCCTTCCCAGTTGATCCCCACCACCAGACTCCACTTCCACACTGTTCTAGAATTCCTTGCAAGTGCTGTTGTTTGATATGTGCTTGTCTGTTGTTTGTCTAGGCTCCTTTAACTCTGCGTAGTGTTCTGTAGGTTTAACTATTTACAGTTTTAGAGGTCAGAAGTCTGAAGTGAGCCTAAAAATGCTGAAATGAGGTTGCTAGTGGGGATGAGTCTCCCTGGAGCTTGCAGGGAGAGTCTGTTCCTGAAGTTTCTCCCAGCCTCTTGGAGAAGACTGTCCGCATTCATTGTTGTTCTTCTCTAGGCTCTGCTTCCATTTTCACATGGCCTTTTCTACTATATTCAAATCTCCCTCTGTTTACTGATTATAAGGACACTTACCACAGTTAAGGTTTCTCACCAACCTGGGATAATCTTCCTACCTCAAGATCCCTAACTTAATCAAAGTCTCTTTTACGATATGGTAACTGCACGGGTCCCAGGAATTAGGATGCAGACATCTAGAGGTCCATTATTTATCCTGCCACACGTGCATCGATAGTGTATCCTTTTTTAGTGCTGAGTAGTGTTCTCCCACTGTAGCATATTTCCTTTGTCAGTTCCTTAGGGATCTGTATTGAGTTGCCTACAGTTTAGGGCTATCGGAATAGATCTGCTTTGTATATTTGTATATGTTTATATGAACTATGACTGTCTTTTTTTTTTTTTTTTTTTTGGTGGTACCAGGGATTGAACTCAGGACCTCGCACTTGCCAGGCAGGCGCTTATGCTGCTGAGCTAAATCCCCAGCCCAACTATAACTTTTTTATTTCTCCTGGATAAATACTTGAGATTTCCTAGGCCATGTGATTGGTGTATTTAACTTTATAAAAAGTAGCCACGCCTTTTGCCAAAGAGGCTACACTACTTTCTGTACCCATCAACATTCCTGTCTACACTGAGCTTCCATTATTGCATGTCTGTGCCCAGTTGTGGTGGTGCTCTTTTTAATTGTAACCATTGTGGTGGGGATACAGTGATATCTCATTGTTGCTTTAATTTCATTTTCTCGGATTTTTTGTTGTTGTTTTGAGGGGGTTGGTACTAGAGAATGAACCAAGGTAATTTCATTTTCTTGAGGAGTAATGATGTTTAGAACCTTTTCAGTGCTTATCAGTGTTGTGGTTTAATCTAGAATGCCCCCCAAACCTCATGGACTCAGAGGCAGGTCATTAGAAAGGCGATTGGATCATGGTAGTGTTATATTTATCAGGGGATTTATCCATGAGTAACTTCAGAGCTAAATGTGCTGTTGAGAGCTGAGGCCTTGTTGAAAGAGGTGAGCTAGTGGGTGCAGGCTCCACTATTTCCCTCCTTCCATCTTTCTGGTGGCTGCGAGCAGCCTCTGCCACCCATTTCTGCCTGGGGCAGAAAATGAGGCGAAGTAAACCTCTCCTTTAAGTTCCTAATGTCTGGCATTTTGTGCCAGTAATGAGAAAGGTGACTGAAGCAATAAGCCATTTGTGTATCATCATTTGTGCTGTATCAAAAATTATTTGTCTGCAACTGTTTGCAGTCTCTCTGTTTGAATGTTCACTTTGTATGCTTTGATACTGTGACTTGAGCAACTATCTCTAAGATGATAATGTGTAATCTATTAACTGGTGATTTCTTACTGGTTTTTTTTTTTTTTTTTTTTTTTGTAGTCCTGTATTACTTGTACCCTTACACCGCTTTGTTTTGTTTTGTTTTTTCTCTTTTTCCTTTTAAATAAAATTTTAAAAAAATTATTTGTCTGTTTAAAAAATCGAGTTGTGTTTTACTTTTGAATTGTAGGGCACCTGTATGTGCTGGGAACAAGTTCTTGTCAAATGTAGCGGGTTTTGTTGTTATGGTTTTTGTTCATTTCTTTCTTTTGTCTTTGGTAGTGCTGAAGATCAGACCCATGTGCTCTACCTCTGAGCTACATCCCTAACCCTGTGGTGTTTTATTTTGTATTTTGGAATAAGAACTTTAAAGAGATATAATTCATATACCATAAAAGGCACCCTATTAAGTGTGTATGTTCTGCTGGTTTTTAGTACAAAATTCACAGAGTTGTGCCACCATCGGGACTTTCTGACTTCCAGAACATCTTGGTCACCCTAGAGGGACTAGTTGGCCATTAGCCCTTGCTCCCCATTTTTCCTCCTCCACTCCTGGTTCTCGCTAATCTCAGATAAGTGTTTTGCAAATACTTTTCCCCATCTGTGGCTTCGTTGCTTATATTCTAAGAGGCACTAAGTTTTTAATTTTGAGAAATCCAACATCAGTGTTTTCATACAGTTTGCTTTACATGGTCTGTTTACTCATCCTCAAGGTGAGAAGACAGTCTTTCGTTTTCTTCTAGAAGCTTTATGATTTTGGTCTGTGAATCCGCCTGCGATAAGGCTTTTATTTTTTCCCTTTCCTGATAGATATTGTACATTGTAGCACTATTTGTTGAAAAGATTTTGGCTTTTCTCCTTCACTTTTTGAAAATCATATATACACATTTTGGCTGCAATTGCCGGGCCACTATCACAGTTTTGGCTGAGAAGTGTTAGTCAAATTCTGTTTGACTCATGCTTGTCAGTTACTGCCTTCCTCAGTGAAAGGAGGACAGTGAGATCTGGTTAGGCATTTACTTCTATGGGAATTTAGTTACTATGAATACTCTACTGCCTAAGAGTTGTAAAGGAAGTTAGGGGTAGAGAAGGTTTACCAATGCATATGTGACACATAATTATTTTAACATACAAGTTTGGAGTATTGTCTTGGAAAAACAAATCTGTGTCAAATTTTGTCAGAAAAATGAGCCACCTAACCACAATATTCATGTGTTCGTTTTACGCTGTGTGTAATTTGCAAGTGGTTTTCTGTTTCCATTTTGTTTTCCTCCCAACACTACTCCAGCTCCAGTTCTTATTCTCTGACAACAATCACGAGTCTTCCAGGCCCAGCTCCTGGGATCCTGGTTATGCAGTTCTTTTTCTACTACAGGCTGAGGATCCCTAAGCCCAAAATCTGAAATGCAAAATGCTTTCAAAGTTGATCAGACTTTTAGATTTTCACATTAGGAACACTGAGCCAGTAATGTCTATGCAAATATTGAAAAATCTGAGTATCTCTGAAGTCTGAAACACTTCTAGTCCTCAGCACTTAGGGTAAGGTATCCTGTATCTACCTGTGTCTGTGTGCTAGAAGTTTGCTGTCTTCCTCCATGTCTTGCCCATCACCTCCCAAAGCACTTCCTCGCATGTGCTCCCCTGTGGTTCAGCTATTTATCAAGGTGTCCTGTCTCTTCCAACTAAGCCACAGGATCTTTGAGGCCAGAAAGTTCTTTATGGTCTTGTCACCAGCTGTGCCTGCCCTAGGGGCCCTTGCAATCATTGTTTAGTTAATCAGTGGGCATTTTAGCCTCCTTGTGGATGGAAACAGGAAAGGAAAACATTGAAAGGCAATTTGTTTCCGGGTGATTTAGTTGGCATCATGTGGAAGAGAGTTTTAGGGAGAATTTCATGTTTTTTTCCAAGGACAATTTAATTTCTTAGCCATTATCTAGAATTTTGCATAGTCTTAAGTGTCATTTAAAAAGAGTTCTTTAGAATATTAAGATGTTAAATAAGTTTTTTGATATTTTTAATTGCAGATCATGGAACTGTAGTAAGAATTTTATGTTTCCACTTATGCTTATTTGCTGAGTTGCACCACAAAATCAAATTTAAACTGATTTTTGGATCATGCAGTGTCTTATCCTCCTTATGAACAACTGAAAATTGCACTCAGTAATATTTTTATAAAAGTCAAACAAGGCAGTCTGACAGTAAGAAATTATAGAGGTCGAGATTTAGCTCAGCAGCATAAGTGCCTGCTTGGCAAGCATGAGGTTGTGAGTTCGATCCCCCATACCAAAAAAAGAAAAAAAGAAAAGAAATTGTAAGCATAAGAGTCAAAGAAAGTTACTTGACATATAGATGCTCCCTACCAAGGACAGATTGTCTTCCTACACTTGAAATACATTTAAAATTAGAAGTAATCTAAAACTCTGAAGAGCTGTCAAGCCTGCAAGTTGTAGTTAACAAATTAATGTTTTGACTATCATCATGCAGATTTTTTCCAGCAGTGCCCAAAGACAAATTAAATCAGCTAATTAAGTGTTCAAGTATGAGTGGTATTTTTCTTCAGTAATCAAAGCATTTAAAGGTCAGAAAACAAACTTGGCTGCCTTAGACTCCTTGAAAGGGTAGCCAGTCCATACACCACCCATCATAGCCTGAAGCCTTGAGTAGACAGACCTCCAGTGTCTTCCTTATAGCTGAGGGAGGCTTGGAAAGGATTTCATTCTTTCTTAACACTGAGTCTTTGTTGTTGTTGTTGTTGTTGTTGTTGTTACTGGGGATCGAGCTCATGACCGTGTGCCTACAAGGCAGGCGCTTATGCCGTTGAGCTAAATCCCCATTAACACTGAGTCTTCATTGGTTTGTTTCTCCGAAACACATTTTGTAAGGCAAACGTGCTGACGCTGCACTCCAGAAATCGCCAACTCTTACATTTGTCTTTCTTTTTGTTTTTGTTTTTGTCTTTTTGGGACAGGGTTTCACTGTGCAGTTCAGATTGGCCTTGAACTCACTTTGTAGCCCAGGTTGGCCTCAAACTTGTAGTGTTCCTACTGCCTCAGCCTCCAGAGTGCTGGGATCATAAGCATGTGCCACCACACCCAACCTTAAATTTTGCATTTAAAACAATAATTTTTCCTTTTACACTACCAGCTGTGCCTTTTGTGCTTAAGAGATATGTGTGTGACTTCCTTATAGGTTATTGGCCATTAGGAGAACTGTTAAGATAGACATCAATTTTTCTTTACATGTAGTCACTTTATGCTGCTTCTTTTCTAGATCAGAAAACCCCAGCAGTAAGTGAAAGGCCTCTGCCGCCTCCTCTGATCAAGATCACAAAGACAGCAGTTCACAAGGATCCAGCCATTAACATCGTGTTAGAAAAGCCCTGCAATGCCGAGTAGGTATTAGGCACCTTGTCTGTTTTTGTGCTAGTTGATTGCCTTTGACTTGTTGAGTTCCAGATTCCTTCAGTTCCCTCAAGATGGAGAGATGTTCTTAGAGCAAGATCTGCAAACTCCAGGCTGGCTCTGTGAGACAGTGTGGGTCTGACATGGGCACTGAATGTGTTGCGTCTTCAGGAGCCTCTTGGCGCCTAGCAACAGTCAGCCGGCTATTCATGTTGAGAGCATTACTTTGGTACATGTGGGTTGTGCTAGTTGTTTACTGCAAGATTTGCTCTCAGAATTATTTTAAGAAATGGTAATGCTCAGAGGGTTGAGGGTGAATGCAGTAAAAAGGGCAGCGATGAATGATGATAGGATATTGAGTTTTACTCAGTATGAAAAAAAGAAATGAAGGAGAGCCTTTGATAATCAAAATATCAGGGTAAATTAACAGTTTGCCCTGGTTTACCAATGATTTTGAGTGCCTTCATCTTCTTTATGTCTCCTCAGTTCCCTGGATGAAAGTGTAGAGACAGAGAGATCAGAGAGGAGAGAGACTCCGCTTCCCTCCTTTGCAGAAGACTCCTTGCAGAGAGAAGGCCGGGCTTCCCTGTTTGTCCCACCCAGCATGCAGCACAGTATTAGCGACTACTGTAGCCGATTTGAGCAGTACCTCCGGATTATATCTCATGAGGCTGTAGGCTCCTTCAACCCATGGCTGATAGCTGAAAGGTTAGTAAAATGTATGTACCTCTGCATAGGAACCAACGACTAGATTTTTGGCTGGTAGAAAAGCTGGACAAAGGACTGGTTGTTATGGTTTGTGTGGGAATGGCCCCCAACGCCTCATGCAGTCATGGAAGCAGCTGAATGTAGCATTTGTGATTGGTTCATTGTCTAGCTCTGGGATTAGAGGTGTGAGTGCTGCACCCACCCATGGATGTGATATAAGGGAGCAAAGGAGGCGTGCTTTTCCTTTTTTGGCTTTTGCCCTTTCACTCTTGTTACTTGCTGCTGCCATAAACAGTTGTCCCTTAGCCATGTCACCCTGTCTTGAAGCCAGCTGAGAATAGACTGAGACGTTCACAAACTCTAAGCTAAATAAACCTTTCCTTCCATCAAGTATTTTTTCTCAGCAATGAGAGAAAAGTAACTTATTAACTCCTGGAATATTTTAAAAACTTATTCAAGAAAGAAATATAATCATAATGTATTGCCTACCTCCATAAAAAAATACATTGCATGGTTATAATACAATGATAACCATGAGGAACTTAAATTTTGACCCTCTCTAAAAAAGAATGGTTTTATACAAATCCTTCGATCCTCCAGGGATCCTTTGGGTCCCTGGAGTTCCAGTGTTGATCTTGGACTAAGGGCGGGCTGACTGCGACTGCAGAGCAGCTTAGGCTGTGCCACCCTTGGAAGTATTCTGCAGCCTTCTCTTCTCAGGCAGTGTCTTAGTCAGCTCAGGCTGCCCTAAAGTACTGAAGATGAGAGGACCTAACCTCGGAGTTCTGGAGGCCGGGAAAGCTAAGTGAGATGTTTGGTGAATGTCCTTTTCCTGACCTGTGGACTTCTTATGTCTTCTTCTGGTAGAGTAAGTGAGCTCTTGCTTCTCATCCTCCCTCCCTCCCTTTCTTGTTCGCTCTCTTTCTTTTGGTTTTTTGAGAGGGTCTCACTGTGTAGTTCAAGCTGGCCTAGTCCTAGTTGGCCCCAAACTCTCAGTGATCATCCTGCCTCAGCCTCCTGCGTACTGGGATTACAAGTGTGTGCCACTGAGCCCTTCTTCTTCGCCTACCTCATGATCTTATCTAGATTGAATTGCCTCTCAAGACCTCGTTCCAAATATCATATTGGGAATTCAGTCTATGAATTTTGAGGTAGAGACATAAACTTTCAGTTCTGAAGGACAGCGTTATGACCTAGAGTTAAGTCACAGCTAGTTTCCTGTTGCTAGGAGGGTGATGTCCTATCAACCAATACAGTATACTGCCTGCCGGGTGGGAAAATCATGATGATACCGTCTTGGCTGGGGGCCATGTTACCCTTAGAGTAGTAAGCTGCTAGCCCAGCATTTCCTTACACCCTGCTGTGGGTTGTCCTTCGGGAATGGAGCTGTAGAGGGTCCAAACAAGGTTCTGCAGCTACTGCAATTTGAAGAATGGATGATCTTTTATCTAAATACAACAGTCGAAGGATTTGTATAAAGCCATTCTTTTTTAGAGAGGGTCAAAATTTAAGTTCCTCATGGTTATCATTGTATTAAAACCATGCAATGTATTTTTTATGGAGGTAGGTAATATATTATGATTATATGTCTTTCTTGAATAAGTTTTTAAAATATTCCAGGAGTTAATAATTGCTTCCTTTTTTTTCTTTGCCTCTTCTTTTACACATTTATTAACTTTCTGCATACACTAGTTAACAGTCTCTTAGTTTAACCCTGATGAATAAAGATAGCTGTTAATCTTTTTTGAATGAGTTTACTGTGAGATCATAGGTGTTGCAAAAACCACAACATAGGAAAAGGTATCTGTTGGTGTCATTGTCCTTGGACATGTGAATTCAGGCAAGTTCGCCCCTGCTGGTCATCTGGTCTATAAATGTGGCATGGACAAAAGAACCATTGAAAAGTTTGACAATGAGGCTGCTGAGAAGGAAGGCTTCCTTCAGGCGCCCCTGGGCCTTAGACACACTGAAAGCTGAGCACCAGTGCAAAGTCACCATTGACACCCCTTGTGGAAAACTGAGACCAGCAAGTGTTACGTGACTATCACCGATGTCACAGGACACAGACTTTATCAAAAACACGATCACAGGTACATCTCAGGCTGACCGTGCTCTCCTGATAGCTGCTGCCGGTGTTGATGAATTTGAAGCTGGAATCTCCAAGACGGAGTGGAGCAGTGACCAGGCCTTTCTGGTTCAAATACTGGGTGTGAAACAGTTAACAAAATGGGTGCCGCTGAGCCACCCTACAGACAGAATAGGAGGGAGTCCTTAAGGAAGTACCACCTAAGTAAGAAAGTTAGCAATAGCCTGACTGTTTTCATGCCCATTTCTGGTTGGAATGGTGGCACTATGCTGGAGCCAAGTGCAGATATCCTTGGTTCAAGGGGTGGAAAGCCACTCATAAAGATGGCAGTGCCAGTGGAACCACACCACTTGAAGCTTTGGGTTGCATCTTTCCATCTACTGGCTCAACTGGAAAGCCCTTACTTCTGCCCCTCCAGAATCTCAGCGGAATTGGGATGTCAGGGATGGTAGCCCTCTGGGCTGAGTGGAGACTGTGTTCTCAAACCTGGTGTGGTGATCACCTTTGCTTCAGTGTTACAACTGAAGCAGAGTTTGTTGAAATGCATCGGGAAACTTTGAGTGAAGCTCTTCCTGGGGACAGTGTGGGCTTCAACATCGAGAACATGTCTGGCAAAGATGTTCATGTGGCAGTGACAGCAGAAATGGTCCATTAGCGGAAGCAGCTGGTTTCACTGCTAAGGGGATTATCTTGAACCATCTGGGCTCAGTTGGTGTGGCTGGCTGCTCCCCCATGTAAGGTTGTCACACAACTCACATTGCTTGCTGGTTTACCGATCTGAAAGAAAAAGTCCACTGCCCATTTCCTATCCAGTAAGACTGAAATCTGATGATGCTGCCATCACTGATATGGTTCCAGGCAAGCCCATGTGTGGTGAGAGCCTCCCTGACTCTCTTCCTCAAGGTCATTTTGCTGATCAGATTAGGAGACAAGCAGTTGCTGTGGGTGTCATCAAAGTAGTGACTAAGAAGGCCATTGGAGTTGGCCAAGTCACCAAGTCTGCCCAGAAAGCTCAGAGGCTGAGTATTACCGCTAACACCTGCCACCTTAGCCTTAGTTAGTGGCGGTAGGTCTGTCTGAGAACTGTGTCTCGCCTGGGTCATTTAAGCTTAATACTACGTTAGCAATGCATCGCAAAACCTTCAGGAGGAGAGGGCAATGTTCTGTAGACCATTTGGTTTTTGTGTGGGGCAGTTTTAAGTTATTTTTTAAATCAACAGTTTTTAATGGAAGCAACTCGACAACAATCTGTAACAGAAGTTTAAGATCCTTTAAAACAAAGTTTAATGAGAGACAGATACTACTTACTTGCATGTGTCAGGCTCAGCTGTGCTTTTCCTGCGGGCCCTCCCTGCACCTTCCTCCCACATTAATCCCCTGCACTCCTGCTCTGGGCCTTCCTCCCATTCTGAGAGTCGGTTTCCATCCTCATGTTAGCTTCCTTCCTTTTAGTGTCCTTGTCTTCCTTTTTCTCTCTCATTTTTGATAGAATTTATCCTCTCAAGACATTTAAGTTTGAAAATATTTCTTTGACTTGATCGATGATTAAGCTGAGGTTATTTTTTAAATATTTATCTAGCAAACTGGGGTTGAACTTAGGACCTCACAGAGGCCCAGGCAAGCACTCCACCACTAAGCTACATCCAGTCCTTTTAAAATTTTACCTTAAGACAAAGTCTTGCTAAGTTACCTACTGGACTTGCACTTGAAGTGCTCCTGTCTTAGTTTCCCAAGTAGTAGGGTTGCAGGTGTGTGTACCATACCTGGATGCACTGAGTTTTAAATCACTGGTTTATTTTTTCCAAAGAATATACCTACCTTCCTTTTGTGGGGATAGAGAAGAGACTGTCACTTAACTGCTCAAAGTAAGACTGAAGAACTACTAATAGATACATAAGAATAAGAAAATCTTTTTGGTCTGTAAGTTTTTAGCCAGTTTTCCTGTTTTCTCCTCCTTCCTCACTCCCCGCCTAGAGCTTTCCTGATGTTTGTGGGGCAGATCAGCTTGCTTTTCCTTAGCACCCCATACAGACCCTGAAGTCTCAGCGGCCTCTGGACTTCCTCTGTTCAACTTAGTCAGTTAAGACTCTTCATGTGGTTTTTACCCTCTGAAAAGTTTGAATCTGTCTCATTTGTTTTTGTCTCTTTTCTCTACACATTTATGTACTTGTTTATCTATTTCCTTCTGTTTTAGTGGGATTAGGGGCAAGATCTGGGATAGTCATTTCTGATGAAACCCTCAGGGTAACTAAAAGTCTTTAATCTTGTCTTAATCTTGGACCCTTCAAAGGATACAAGGGTGTATGTTCTGGGTGCCATGCACATTGTCTTTATGTGTGCTCTTAAGGGTTTTCTGGGAGAAGAGAGGAAGTAAACTTTCTTGCTTCCTTGTGGTAACACACAGCCCCTTGGCATTCTGTCTGTTCCTGTACCTGTCTAGATCGGTTAGGCCGACTGGCATACTGAGAAGTCTGAGGCAAGCCAAGGAAGCTAGCCTGTTCTTGTATGTTTTTCACCTGACAAAATGATGCATTTTGTTCATAATTCTTTTGTAGGTATAGGGAAAAGTGAGTACAGAGCTATTAAAATATGCCTGGAATTTCATAGTTGTTTTCCTGTTAGCCTGTGACCACAAGTGACAGTGCATCTTAATATTCTAACTCTTTGGTTTTATGTTGTGGTTGCTTGTTTTTTAAATCTCTCTTGCTTTTATTTCTTGGATGTTCCGAAGATGAAAGTTGTATTGAGCAGAATTTGAAAAAGCATACAAAGACAGTTGACTTCAATAGCCTCTTGGGTAAGGGGGAAGCTAGCTAGCGGAGTTTAATTTTTAAAACCTTGGGTTTTGCCTTATACCCGAAGAAAGCCAACATTGCAATGATCAGAGTAAGTAGAAGGTATAAAATAGACGCAAATAAGATTAACTAGGAAAAAGACTTAAGACTGTGCTTTCGGTAAAAGGAAAACTCTAAAGGTCCTGGGTTTTCTTTTCAAACATGAGGTTCTTGGTTGAAAAGAGCAGGCTGAACTTACATACTTGTCTCTACTCCCTGTTTCCCTATCCCACTATGTGTTGTTAAAAAGTAAAACACAGGGGCTGGGGATTTAGCTCAGCGGCATAAGCACCTGCCTTGCAAGCAGGCGGTCGTGAGTTCGATCCCCGGTACCGATTAAAAAAAATAAATAAATAAAACGCATAAAATTGTAAACAGCAGCAGCAAGAGTGTAAGTACAAATTTGGACTCCAAAAGCCGTTACACAAATGGCAGATTCTTTAGCAGGCCAGAGAAAGTCAAGCACTGAGGGAGAAGGAGGCCAAGAACCACGTTTTATCTGTGTAGAGCCTTGTGAGACTTGGGAGCCAAATGTACCCCATGGCTGTGGAGGAAGGGGTACAGGTTACCCAGGAAATGGGGCCTTGGTGGACACTGAGTCTCATTCTTGAATATGATCGGACAGCTGAGGTGACTGGACATTTCAAAGATACCTGTGCTGTCGTAACACATAAAGAAAGCTTTGAAGAATCAGGGACGATACTGCAAACAGCAAAACACCTAAAAAAGAAACTAGAATTAACATCCTCCGAAAAGCCAGTGAAGCTGTTATATCATGAGACAAGAATAGGAGAGTATTTAAGAGCAACTTAGAGAATTAAAGTTATTTGAAATTAAAAACATGACAGCTGAAATAAATTGATTGCAAGTATTTAAAAACTCATTTCTCAGCCAGTACAATAAAAAAAATGAGCTAGATAACAGAAAAGATGTTTAAAATTAGACAGTAGTTCTAAGCGATGCAATAACTGAGTAATAGAAAGCCAGAGTATGGGGAAAAGAGAAGTAAGTGGAAGTTACCACAGAAATACGATCCTGAGGTCTGTAAAAGGCCGTGGTTGTCAGATTGAAGACCTTCAATCAGTTGTCCCCGCGAGGGAGTGAGTGGATTAAGTAAGACATACCCTGTGTGTCACTAGGAGAGGGACAGTGGCAGTGTGCTGGAGAGCACAGATGACAGAAGACTGCATAACATTAAAACTGGATGGATTCCCCCAAGCAGGCAGGAGTGAGTACGGCAACATTGGGAAGAGCCGAAAGATTTTGTAGTTTCAGAACTTCACTTCTACTTCTGTATTTATCGATTAAAGATAAGGATAAAATAAAAATAATTTTTAGGTATGCAGTATCCAAAAATTCAGTTTCCTTAGACTATTCTCTGTAAGCCGTTGGAGAGTGTATGCCACCAGTGCAAGGTGTGCCCAGAGAAAAGGGATCCCTTGGCGTTTAGGGAGGTTAGACTGTAACATGGCACTTTCAGAAAAACTGTGAGGCCATTTCCAGGAGAAATTTTCAGTAAGTGCAGAATGACAGTAGTCAGTGTTGGGGTTCAGGACAGTGGGATTCCGGAGGGATGGTTCCCCAAAGAGAAGACAGAGTGAGACCAGGTGTGGTGGCAAACTCCTGTAATCTCAGCAGGCTGAGACAGGAGGATGACTGAAAGTCCCAGGCCAGCCTGGGCTATAGAGACCCTGTCTCAAAAACAGAAGACAGAATGAGAGAAGTTAAAAGTCAGCACTGTGGTGCACACCTGTCATCTCAGCTGCCCAGGAGGGCTGAGGGGGGGGGGGCGCATGGCAACTCAGGGCAACTTACAGAGACCCATCTCAACAGAGTAGACTGGGCTGAGGACACAGTTCTGCCTTCGAGGACTAGCCCAACATAGGTGAGGCTCTGTGTTCAGTCCCAGTACCACAAAAGAAAAGGAGGAGAAAAGACATGGATCTGTTACCTGTTGTGTTGAATGTATTGGAAGTAGCTTTGTATTTCATTATTTGGTGATGAGTTCATGATGGGAAAATAGAGAGCAAAGCAAATATAGAAATGAGGTAGGCACATCCCTGTCTAGTAACGTGCTTTTGGTAGTTTGGACACCTCTCCCACTGAGGATATCTGCTCCTAGAGAAGCTGCATTAAAAATAAAACATACGTGCTTGCTGGCATCAAGAAGTTAACTAGGGAATAAAAAAATGAGGAGGTCAGGATGCTGGATAGAACAGATGCAGGCAGGTGAGCCACTGTGTGGTGGCGGGTAGCAGTTATTTCTGGAGGGAGAGCAGTCCCACCGTGGTAGCCTTTTCAGGTCAGAAGACAGAGGTGGGAGTCCAGGGCTTACCAAGGGGAGGCAACTGCCCTGGCAAACTTGTGTCACCTTTGTCTGGTTTCATGTATTTGTAGTGCTGGGGACTGAATCCAGGGCTTGTGTGTGTGCTGGGCAGTTACTCTACCCCGAGCTGCGTGCCCACTCTTTCCTTCGCTTGAAAAGTTTGCACGCTTACAAGTTCAGGTGACTTGAATATAACTAGGCTTCTCAGCGACTCCACTTGGATTAAACTGACACTAGATTGTTGTTGTCTCCTGGTCTCCAGAAGTAAACAAATATAAATTTTCTCTAGAAGAAAATAGCATTGTTGTAGGACTCAACTTATTCCTACAATTTTCGAACGTAGTGTGCAAAGGCAAGAGAGAAAGACAAAACGAGAACAGAGCCACAAGATTTCCAAATATTCAAGCTATTTTGGTGACATTAAAATAACTGCCTAGTGTGTTGATATAAATAAAAGATACATCTTGGAATTTGGCAGAGAACTAGGAACTTTGAAAATCCAAATGTGCACCCTAGAATTAAAAATACATTTTCTGAAATTAGAAATCCATTGGATGAGCTCAGTAGCAAATTAAACACAGCAGAAGAAAAACTTAGAGACTTGGAAGACAGAAAAAATATCTGGAATGCTAATTTAGAGACAGATGAAGGCTAAAGAGGAGAGGATACAGTAAGAAACGGGTCAGAAACAGCACCCTTCTGCACGGTGGCAGTGGTCAGCAATTCTAAAATGATAGATTTTGCATTTTAAGGTGGACCAAATGAATACAATTTGAACAGTGAGAGCAGGGTCTCTGAGGCTAGGCTGGCATGCACCACCTTGAACTGGAGTTCCAGCTATGCTTGTGAAGACAGTTTTTGATAGGTGTAGAAACATGAAGTACGGGGCCTGTGTGTTTCCCGTCTCACTGAGGGCCCAGCAGCACTTGGCAGGCCTGGTCCCAGGGCCTGGTTTCTAAGTATTGTTTGTCATGAAGAGGTACCAGGGATCCTTAGAGAAGTAACTGGTTCTGGCTGGGCCTAGGGCTGGAGGTGCTGTACCACAAGGAAACCCTCAGGAGGTAATGTGTCCTGAGGCCACAGCGGCCAGCTTGAAGGGGCTGCTGTGCGCCAGAGCCAGGGTGTGTGTGAGCATTGACACACGCAGTAAAGAGCTCTAAAAATAAGACTCTGTAAGACCAGCTGATACGAGTGGATGAGTGAGTGAATTATTGGGTGGATACATAACTAAGAGAGGAGAAAGGGAAAGCTCTGTCACAGTGGAACAGCAGCTGGTAAGTGGAGATGGAGTGAGGGGATGGGAAGATCGTGTTTAGAACTCTGTGTGATTCCTTCAGACAGTTTGATGAGAAATAGAAAGGGGGTGTTTACATAGTCTCAGGAACCCTCTCACGGTGCACTTTTAATTAAAAAGGGAAAGAGTAACTTACCAGGAGGAAGCCTGGCCGTCATCACCGAAGCCAGGTGTTCAGAACAACCAGTCACCTGCTGGGCATCATGGTTCACATCTGTAATGCCCACACTTGGGAAACTGAGGCAGGAGGAACACCATGAGTTTAAGCCTGGCTGGCTACAAAGTGAGTTCAAGGCTAGTCTGAACTGCATAGTTTTGTTTCAAAACAAAACAAAAAGTAATCCTACAGTCATCAGTAATGGGACAAACAGATACTGTGAGGTATGGGGGAGCACAGTACCCCTCCTGTGGCACCATCCCAAACCTGTAGGCTGACACCGACCAGGAGGCAGCACCAGATAGACCCACTTTAGGGACAGTCTATCTTATGCCGCTGAGCTAAATCCCCAGCCCCAAGGCCTCTGCTTTTCAAACCTGTTGGGGTTATGGAAGCCAGGGATGGAGGGACTCTGAGAATACACTAAAGAAACAGGAGACAAAGTGCAGCCCATGATTCTGGAGAGTATCCTGAACTACAAGAAGCTTTCTTTTAAAAGGATGCTGATTGGATGGTTGGCGAAGTCTGAATATGGGCTGTAGATAGGATGATAATTCTGCATGGATGTCAATTTTATGATGGTTATGACTATGACAGTCATTTAAGGGCTGTCCTTGTTTCCTGGAAACACATGGGAGGAGTTGAGGTATGTTAAGCACACAGCTTGCTCTCAGGCAGCTCAGAAGAGCAGGGGTGGGGTCCAGAGAGAGAGGGGAGCACAGACTTGGGTACTTGCCCTTCTGCCAGGGAGAAGGCACAACTTGTCCCTTCTGTGTGTTGGTTGTCCACGGTGTGTCTGGACTGGGGCTGGGTTGCAGCCACTTTCTGGTCATCTCTCATTTCAGCCATCCCAGGTCATGTGCATTTGTGTGTGTCCCCTGGCTCCATGAGCCTTTGGAATCCGAGCATCGACATCTTACTGTCTTGGCTTTTGCATTTCCATTTAAATTTTAGGGGTGACTCACTGAGTTCCCCAGCTGAGCCATCCACAGCTTCAGCTGTGTCGTATGTCTTCCAGCTTTTCCGAAGAGCTGCTGGATGAATCCCTAGGCTTCGTGGCTGCGGAACTTCAGGATGCGTGTGAAGACTATGCCGAAGCTGTGTTCACCTCAGAATTCCTGGAGGCTGCTGCGTAAAGCCTGTCACCACGTGGCTCTTTGTGTCACACTGGAGAAGGGACACACCACTCTGTGCTGAGCCTCCGCTGTCTGTCCAGGCCCAAGCTGCTGCTGCGCTGTATCGTTCCTGTGTCTTTCCTTGCCGCAGCAGTGCCTCTGGGAGCCTGCAGTGGGATGTGCTCTGTTTCCGTGCCCAGGAAAGTGGATCACTCATGACAATGGGATACTTGGAAAATGTAGTTTTCCTATTGAAACACTACATTTGGTTCCTCTGGCTCAGACTGCTGATCAGAATGCTTCGCAAGGTCATAGATAAACATGTTTCATCAGGATCAAAGGTGCTATAGAATCTCAGGGGCATCAACGTCCAATTCAGTTGCAGGTACTGTCCAGTCCCGGTACCTGGCTCTTGGTTTCCGCCTTTGGCTGTGTCCTGTCAGGTCAGCTGTCCCCTCTGGGTTGCAGATGCGCAGCTGGTCCGGCAGGCAAACCTGTGCACCAAGCAGCTGGAAGCCGGGACCCACTAGTGCACAGTGTCAGACACAGTTGCTAAAGGTCTAGTCCCCAAATGACTTTTCACATGTTCAGGTCCTCAAAGTCTTATTGCTGTGGGCTGACATTCTGGGATCAAAATCTTTCTCAAAGTTCAGAGAAAGATAAAGAATGCTGGGGGAGGACCAGGCCTTCCCTTTACCCAGTAGAGGGATAAGCCCACTCCGTCCCCCAGGGATTGTTTTCTCACCACAAAGGAGCCCCCCATGAGAGAAGGGTGGCACTGGGTGGCGAGGAGACCTACAGGTATCTCCAGAGGAAGGAAAACACCTGAGAGCCACAACAGCTCCAACGTCTTACAGACCACGGTACCTTCTGCCTCTGTTTTTAGAAACTGAATTCAGAAAAAGAATATGCACAAAAATAAGGTCCCTACCTGGAAAAAGCTTCCCTTAACTGTTTGCCCCAGGCTTGCAGAGAAATGTGAGGACAGACTGAGAGACAGGCCCCAGGGGCAGTAGGAATCTTGTTCTGACACGCAGTGTTGTCATTTAGGATTGTTTCTAAAAGAAAGGTACTCAGGTGAGTCTGCAGACTACTTGATTGTATGTATTTGTGCAAAATTGATTTGTATTTAATGTTAACGTTTTCCTGCTTAATTTTATATAACTTCAGAATGCAAAGAGCGTTAAGAGAATTATAGGTCTCTAAATTGGAGAGTTAAACGTGAGTACTTGAGCTGAGAAGAGACCTGTGATTAGTAGTGTAAAGTAATTTGTGTGGCAGTTCTTACTGTGCTGATTTTTTAAAAAATAAATTCAATATTTTAAAATACATGTCTGGTTGAAATAATTTACATCTCTTTTTCCACAGGGAAAGTGAAATGTGATTTACCAAGGCCACTGAGAATACTTAAGTATTTGATATGAGTATCATGAATTATTTGCCATTTCTCCCCCTCAGAAAAAGAAGATAAAAAGCTAACATTTATTGAGCACGTACTAGAAAACTGCCCTAAGTGCTTTCTTTGTATCACTTATTTAATCTTCATGTCCCTTTTGGGGGATGGATGCCATGATCATTCCCATTTTATAGATGAGTACAGGGAGAGAGGAAGTCTTTGTCAGCCTTGGATTCCGTGGTCACAGATCCACTTCTTCCACGGAACTTGGGGCTGTCACTTGAGTGCCCTCTCCTGCCTCTCCTCATCTCCCCCTGCGTGTCCCAGACACCGTCTTCAGGAGCAGTCCCTTTGCTAAGTACTTCTGCTGCAGGTGTGTCTCGAGGGTCGCTCAGCCTCTCCTGCGCCACCCAGATGTTCACTCCTCCCAACTGCCGGGGTGAGGCTCACACCTACCTCCGGTCTGGCTGCCACATCATAGTCTTGGCCCATATTGAGCCTCCACAGCCAAAGGACTCTAGAGACAAAAAGCAAACTGCAAGAAATACCTTTTGTTTGAAAATGGAGGCTGCTCTAGAAATTCTGCTTTTTGAACAAGAGCTGAGCACGTGTGAGTCATTCTCTAATTCTCTTTGTTTTCTCATGACCTCCTCATGTCCTGTTTCCAGAAAGTCATGCGTTAGTTTAGTATTTCATGTTGCGTGAGCTGTCCCCAGTTTACAGACATGCTGGGATGCCTTCCATGGCTTCAGCGCTGCCACCCAGGTCCCTCTTTTCCCCACACGTGGCAGGTTTTCTTTTACCTGTTCACACACCTGCTCCAGTCTGCTCAGCAGCTTGAGGATCAGGATGCTGCTCATACACCACAGGCGCTCAGCAAATCCTTCTGAATGAAAGGAGGGACTGCTTTTGTACAGCGAGCCTGGCACATCTCAGTGGAATGCCCAAATGTCTGCTGACCGAGTGTGACCCCCACAGACGATTCCATCTGTGAGGATGTGGCTCCTCCCCAGGGTTGTAGCCCCCTTCCCCTGGCCTTCTATGCACCATGACAGGCTACTCCTTGGCTCAGGCTTGGGGTGGGCCCTGGGACTAGAAAAGAAGCCGAGGGGGTGGGGGGCTCAGAATATCTCTTCCCCACCTCCTTGTACCTTAGCATCTCACTCCAAGCTCCCTGCTTCCTCTGCCTATGAGCTCAGGAGCAAGACGTGCTGGGGTGGAGACAGGCAGAGAGACAGACTCCTGCGTCCTCCTCTCCCCTGCTCCCGGCCCCCGCCTCCCTGAGGGAGGATGTGTGGAGGGGAGCGGGCTGAGGAGCTAGCCCTTCGGGAAGGAGAGGAGAGACCGCTGCATTGCCAGCCTTGGTGAAGCCAGCAGCAGGGCCAAGGCCTTCCCCAGATGGGTCTCTGTCTATGAGAGCAGGGCTGGTGTCCGAGGGGGCAGTCCTCTGTCTTAGCAGCTGGAGAGGCTAAATCAGGGTGTCTGCTTTCCTCCCCACAGTGAGTTTCCAGCACTTCCAGCTAAGGCATGTGTAAAGCAGCAGAAAGCAGTGGCCTGTTGGCTGTCTTCCTCAGTACTGACCTGTCCGGCTCTGCTAGTTTAAGAGCCACAGTCTCCATCCGTTTCGGCTCTGACGACAGAGCCCAATGGTGTGGGCCGGGGTGGGATGCGGGCTGGGGCGGGACAGGCTCTGGCTGACATCCTGTGTGCTTCTTCTTGGTCTCCAGTACAGGCCCATGACACCAGATCGGGACTCAGGTGAACCCCATCAACAGGTGCCCTTAGCGCTGAGAGGCAGACTGCAGACTGCCTCTGTGGGCAGGCCTTGCTCCCACCGAGAGCGTTGCCTCCCTCCACCAGCCTGGCAGGGCCTGGTGCCTGGCACAGTGGCAGTCCCTCAGTCCCTCTGCCTGTGTCAGTCTGTGCTGGGACCTGAGTGTGGCCCCCGCTCTCCCCAGCTCCTTTCTGCACTCTTTCTAGAGCCCGTTGGCTGTGCAGCTGCTCTGTGGGTCGGGTTTCCCTCATCAGCTCCTTGAGCCACTCCTGCTGCCTTTGCCGTGTTTTTGGGTGACTCTGTCCATGCACCTGACTAGACATTCTCCTGTGGCCTGCACTTGGATCTGTGTGTCCCGGCCCTGAGCCTGCCCACCTTAGCCCCCCAGCCAGATGTGTCCAGGTGGGCTCCCCCACATCTTGCTGTTACCACCTACCGTGTCTCCTCCTTTCCTCTGAGTCCTGGTGCTCTCGTGGGTTCTTCCCTGAGGCTGCTCCCACCCTCCCCTCCCTTCCCCGTGGAACTAGAGAAGGCATTAGTATCCCCTTGCTTTCCTTGGCCCTCCCTGACTCAGCGGCATCAAACCTCACTGATGCCCTTGGGAAATCCAGGCCCCTGGAGCGTTCCATCCTCTCTGTTCCTGCTGCTACTCACCCTCCATGTCCCCTGGGTCCTACAGCTTTGATTCCTGCCTCCACCCATTCCAGCACCTTAGAGTCCTTTGTGGAGAACCTGCAGACATCCTGGTGCTTTCTGAATCACCTTTCCCCGTCTCCAGCCCGATCAGAAGACCACTCCTGGGCTTAGTGCAGCTGAAACACTGCCCACACCCATGTCCCTTTCATCAGCCTCTGCTCCCAGCGCTCCCCTTTCATTGGACCCCCCACCCTGCCCCTGCCTGGACTCCTGCCATGTGATCTGTTCGCCCCTCCTGGCTCCCCACCCTCTCCTGTCCTTTCCCTCCCTCTTGCCTCTCTCCCATTAGCCGGACCGTCCAGTTCACTCTTCAGCCTGGCTCCCAAGAATCTCCTGCCCACACAGCGGTTCCTCTGCCTGTTCTCTTGGTGAGGTCAGCCTAAGCCCTTCACTCGTGGGCAGCAGGTAATTGCTAATGCACATTTGTGCCTTCTGCTGGAGTTGGACCTTCAGCACCCCAAGTCATTATCCATACCTGGAAGCTTGAGCGCTGTGATCAGGAAAGGCAGGAATGTTCGAATCCCTGCCTGTGGGCTCTGCTATCTTCCTTTTAGCTCTGAGTTCCCTTCGCCTGAGCTGTGTCCGAGCCAGAAGGGACAACAGACACTGATTCATTGGGAGCACAAGGGAGCAGGAGTCAGGGACCATTGAGGTAGAGCTGGCCACCAGAATGCCTGCGGCCACTATCCACAGGGCCCTAGAGGCCTCCTGGGAGAGAGTTCAGCTCCAGCTCAGCTCAGTGAGAGCTGGCCCTGCCTGACCAGCACTGCCCCAAGCATTGCTTCCAGAGAGTTACTCAGAGGCCAAGAGAAGTTATAAAGGATTTAACAGCATCTCATGTCTACCCAGGACTTTACAATTCAAAAATAGCCTTAAATAACTGCTCTTCTCTCTGCAGGTCACTGTAACCACCTTGTTTTGTGCACCAGCAGTAATCTGGCTGGTTAAGAATTTGAGACACAATGCAGCACAATTCACAATAGCTAAGTTATAGAGCCAGGCAAGGAGTCCATCAGCAGATGAATGAGAAAGAAAACATGATGTATATACACTCTATAATATTATTCAGCTGCAAAGAAGAATGGAATTATGTCATTTATAGGGAAATGGATGGAACTGTAGACCATCAGTTAAGTAAAAACAAGCGACTCCAAAAGACAAGGTCACATATTTTCTCTCCTGTGTGGAGTCTAGGGAAGAAAACAATGCCATGAAAGTAGCAGAGTGACAGGGATGAGGGAGAGGGCCTGGGGTAGAGGAGTGGGTAGGAGAAGGGAGGCCAGAGGAGGGTAACAGAGAGGTGGACATGGTCAAAGGACGTTCCATACATGCATGGAACCACCACAGTGAAACCCATTACTCAGTATAACAAATATGCACTAATAAAAAAGAAAAGAATTCTAGCCCAAGCTGAAGCACCATGTCACTGTCCAGCCTCAGCTTCCTAATCTGTAGAGTGGTGATAAAAATGGCACCCACCAGGGTGATTGTAGGGTAAAGAATATAGCCACAGAAACTCTCAAATGGCCTCTGGCAGACAGCAAATACAAGCGTCAGGTCGTCCAAGGGGACCCCAGCTCCCACAGTAAGTGTGACTCAGGAAGACCCTTTCCTGTCTCGTCCCACAGTCTCGTCCCCTGCCTGGCCAGCCGCATGCGTGGCAGCGCCTTTGCAGCCTGACGTTTGGCTGTGCATCTAGCTTGCTTCAGCTGCTCCGCCTACACTGCTTCAGAGCCATGGCTGTGCTCTCGGGCTTCTAGGGCCACCAGAACTTTCTGAACTGGGCCATATCTTTTGTGAATAACTGCAGTGTTAGTCCCATTTTACAGACGGAGAAAGTGAGGCTTCTGGAAATTAAGGGACATGCCTGGGGTCACACAGACATAGTGACAAAACCAGAACTCGACCTGCATCTTTCTACTTCAAGTCTTGTAGCCTTTCTTCTGGTCACAGTTGTGTCTTTTTCCCAACTGGATGATTCTTATGTAAGCTAGAAAATCTCAGCAGCTGTCAAATGTAAATGCAATCTCTGTTTTTACAAATATTTACAATGGTCTCACTCCATGTCAGGCGGAGTGCTGAGTTCTGAATTTTGGCGATGACTTCACTGTATTTCCTCCCTTCCTGACAGAGCACAGAGCAGTGATTGGGTCCAAGCTGTCTTAACCTTTCCCCCTCCCCTCTACACTTTTCTGAGGGCCAAGCCCTGCTTGAGACTGACCATGAGTAGTGAGAATCACCCCTCTGCCCAAATGGTAGGTGCCAGGTACTTTATTTACATTGCATTAATTCTCACACTAACAGTGGAATAGACATTATCAGCCCATTTTACAGTGGAAACAAATCAAATGAGGTGAAGACTTTCCAATTAGAAGACTTTCCAATAGAAAGATTAGCCAAATCTCACTACAAATACTTTGTTGTTCTCACTGTACTGGAGTCTCACACCCTGCAGGCCCTGGCAG